TGAATAAGCTGTAATGGAAACAACTGTGGTTGAACTAATGAGATAAAGATCACCCTCTCAGAGGGCTTTTAATCAAAAAGATTGTCTTAGTTTCTATGCAAGTGAGGCTTCTTTGTATAAGCCCATTGACTTTTTGAGTCTGGAAGGGATTCTCTAGGTATCTGACAGATTTTTCTCATCTAAAACCCCCAAATCTCTGATAGCAGACTACACTGAAGCTTAATCACTTCTCATCTCAAATGTTTGCTAAGCCTCCACTTTAGGGAAAAGAAACAAACACCAACCAAGCAGGGATAACTATAGTTCATTCTAAATGACAGCTTGTGTAGACTTTTTGTCTTAAATGGTTTGAAAAATTTGCAAAACTATAAGGTTTTGAGAAGTGCTCATATTTGACCAAAATCCACACTGCAGAAGGAAGGGTAAAACTCAATTGACTTTGAGAGGAAAAGGATTAGGCCAAAAGCAAGTACTTCTGAAAATCCCACACCAATATTTTTATCACTAAGGTCCGAAGGGAATGTGGCAGACACTCACAATTCAGATTCACTTCAGATGTAGATCCCAAACTTAACATAATGAACTTGATTAATTCCAAGAAAACATAATTAGAACATGTTTATAGGCATTAAGCCATTCTGATGAAAGAAATATTTTTCAGCCTTATGAAGAACAAGTCGTAACAGACTAGTGCAGGTTTAAAAATCTCAAAATGATTAATGAACCGGATTGTACTTCTATCCATGAGCAGAACAGTAATTTAATTCACTGGTGAATAGTAAGAGGACAAAAATTAACCAAACATCTACTACCTTCAAGTGCAGTAAAACTCAGTAGCCCTACAGCACTTGAAGCAGTTCTCCATTTAAACCATGTTTAAATGTTCATAACTTAAAAACGGAAGACATCCCTTTAAGCTGAATTAATTAAACGGATAGAACTATATTTTAGCCTTCAAACCTCAAGGATGAACGTAGTGTTTCTATATTAGAGAATGATCTGGGCTTTCTGGATGTTATTTTGCAAGTTTTAGCCTTACCTCTCATAGTCTGAAGAAACAGACAGGCTGCTTAAGGCATTCCTCCCTGAAATCAGAGACAGCACAGCAGTCCATCCAACACGGCAAATGAAAAGCTCTGTAAAGTCATTCCTAGGTTTAAAGTGTTGCTTTGCATCTGGCCATTCAAAGGAAGCTGTGGCACTTAGGGATTTTAAAGCTGGTGACTACAAAACCCGGTGAACGCAGCTTTCTGCGGTTGGCAGCGGGGAACAAAAGAAGAGCTACACTCCAACTGGTTTCAGGAATTCAGCCCAGACTTTGACAGACTTTCAGGACTTAAAAGGGGGGAATGGGAAGGGAGAGCAGTTGGATCTGAGATTTCCAAAGGACTTTCTGACCCGGAAGGATTTCTGCAAGCTACAATAACCATTCTGTGGTAGGCTTTGACAAATGGGCTTAAATAAACAAGATGGGTAAAAGAAGTTACACTTTTTACCATTTTCTGGAGACAAAAGGACAGCCCAGCTGGAAGAAAGGCTATCTGTTAGTTTGCCATGGCTGATTCTCTCCAGCTCACAAAATCTTTGGTAATTGGGAGGGATTCACAGAAATTCGGCACATTCCTGACTTTTGTATAACAGTGATAACGATGTTTGTGATATGCTTGGAAACTCTCATCACTTTACATGTTCAAAGCACTGTATAAACATCATTTAATTAATAGTTGCTAAACAGTGCGTTATTCCGGTGGTTTGGATATGCCTTTGAAGGGTACATGAGTACTTAGATTGTATATTGTGAAACAATTTGATATATTTGTTCATTTTAATTAAGTTTTTCATGTTTACATACATGATACAAGGTCACAAAACATGACTGCACAGGTGCTAGAATGGAGAGGAGTCACAGCGGCCCAAGGGGATATAGGGAGCTGTAATGGGATGAAGCTGGAAAGGAAAATTAGACAGACTATCAGACAGTCTTTGCTCCTGACTAAAAACTGAAGAACTCTTAACTGTGCACCAGGCTGTATTTATGGCAGTAACTGTCCTGGCCAGAATGATGCATGAGAAAGCTTGAGGAAAAGCAAGTGAATTTCAGACACACATCCCAGAAATACCATGGAAATATAAGGTCTAGTCCAAAGGACATCAAAGTCAGTGGAAAGATTCCTACTGAACGCAAAGAGCTCTGGATCCCAGGTTTCCCTAGGGAAATTGTGAAGGTGTCATTTCTGGCTCATTTTAAAGTTTAAAAAAAAAAATACTAGAGGAGTAGTCTACACTAACAGGGATCACACCAATGTCTGAATTCTGCTCTTGCATAGCCCAGTGATCAAGTAGCTGGTCCATCTCAGCCTTCCTCCCTTATTTTTTGTATTTTCATTAAAACTGAGTTAGATGCATGTAAGTCCAACCAGAGCTACTCACCTAGTAACAACCTAGTAACAGTTGATAAAATCAGTTTTTTCCAACTATTACAACTTAGGCTATTACAGCAGACAGAGCAAATGGCCTGAGAACAATGAGTCTTGCCTGTAAGCCTAGTCCTTAAATAATGACACCAAGGTCACATCTGTCACAAAAAGAACAATTCTACTGCTGTCCTTTGTCTGTCATCATCTTCTGCATTTGGTTCACTGAACAGGAGAAGGAAGCCTACGTGGTTGTTAAAAATTACTGGAAATGTCCAGTGGTCTTTACTCTGGATTTTAATTCTTACCATAATATACTTATCAGAGATAATCTGATTTAGGGAGGAGACAGTTTGTCTCCAGTGTTTCTCCAGAGATTTTGACCTCTTCAGGTCCTGGATTCCACCCCTCTGACCATTGCTAAATATGAAGTCTATCCACCGAGTACAGTGGTGTATTTAGCCACACTCATTTACAAAGCTTTTTTCCACTCACTTCCCAGCTTTCCCTCTGATCTTTTTCCTACACTGAAATATCTTCCTGAGTTATTTTTTTTCCTCCTGTCTGTCCAGCAAAGCCCCAAAGTCTGCCCTCATACACTTACCATGGGAGTTCCTGCAGGACACTCAACTTACTAAAATGTGTGGAATTTCTTGGTCCTACTAGTTAGAACATGATTTGGTCTTCATTCAAAGTGAAAGGCAAATATTTGTCTGGCAAGGTGACTCTAAGCCTTTACTACGTGTTACTTATCCAGTTGAGTCTTGGCAGTTCTCCCTACCTTCGCTCAGACTGACTCTCCTCTCCTTTACTTTTTTTATGCTCAGATACACTCAAGTAAAGCTCCTCCTGACTTGCTCTGCTGCTGAGACAAGCAATGCTAATTTCCATTCTCTCGGTGTGGAGTGTAACACTGCATTCCCATTCATGCCTTCACCAGCTGAAGCACAAATATCACCCCTTCCTACCCACAAAAATGAATGTGTTAAAGACCACGACTGGCTCAGGCAGGACAGTATGGGGCCCATATAAGTACTTTGCTGGACAGACAAGACCGAGTCCTAAAATGGGATAAACTTTCATCTCGCTTTTCACGAGGATAGTACAGCCACTTCTCTCTGTGAGATCTCACATGAAGAAATTAGCTCTTGTGAGCGTTTCATTCCCTCCACCCTCATGAAGGACACTTGTTGGCACTTTTCCAACCATGCTAGAAGATTGCTGAAGCCTCCTGGAGGTGAGCCAAGCCATGTAACATCCAGGGGGCCCACTTTGCATTTTTGGCTTGTATGTGATTTTTGTTTTCAGCTATGGTGGATAAAGTTTTCAAGTATATGATTCATTGGTGCTCTGTGTCAAGCCTACAAATCTTTGCTTCTTCCCTTGCTCCTAAATTATATGCCAGCCAAGGCCAGAAAGGCAGGATTGTCATTCAGAGGCTTGCATATGGCTCTAGTGAAAATTGCTTAGTAGGGGGTGATGTGACTTTATGATACCTATGCTGTCAGCTGAGGAGGGCTTTTTATAGTTAAATGTGATGACAACTGCACCCTATTTATATCAATGAACTTAGGCATATCAAAATAGTAACATCAAGAGGAATATCCTGGGCAAAAAAAAAAAATCACACTGCTCAGTTTACGCTTTAAAATAAATATTTCTTTAGCTTAGAACTGATCACTGGCTACAAACATTGGAGAAGTGTTTCAGGGCTCTGATTCCACCCTGAAAACAAGAGTTTGGGTCTTGCCTCTTTCAGGGCACACATGGATATAGGTTGCCATCCCTACAACTAAACATACACAGTACCACCGGACATTTCACTCTGTCTCCAGGGCAATTTGAGCAGAAAACAACCATTAAGAGAAGAAAACTTGTAATTTTGTGGTTTGTATCACTCTTAACATTATTATTATTATCATGAAGGGGGTGCAGCGCCTCTGTCCTCCAAAATTTTTGGATTACCCTCTCTAAGCCAGGATGAGTGCATTTTCACCAGCTGAGTGCAGGGTGGAAGGAGCCTATCTGGAGGCCCAGCATCCCTTTGTACCATGGAATTTTTGGGGGTGTCGTTAGGCCATGCTGAAATGAGAAGCAGAATTCCCCAGCTCTCAGCTTTCACCCTCCTCCCAAGAGGCTCCTGAGCAGCTGAGCAGAGTTGAGTGGTGCAGGGCTTTTAGACACATTTCATGTGATGGAGTGGGCAGGCTGGCAGGACCAGCACACTGCTGCTTGTGGTCCCAGAAGTGTTATCCACTACTCAGCCCATTTACTTACCTTCATGCTTTGGGAAGATTCACCTTCTTCCCACAAGGCTTGCCTGAGTTGCTGAAACTAAATTCAACTATTAATAGTCACATTTTCTCTTTTGTACCCTGTGGTATGATTACCAGAATTCAGTCTGCTCCCAAATCCCCCTTCCCACCAGTTCCCACAACTTTGGAACAGTTTAGAGGTCACTCTGCATTTTGCTGTATTGCCCTAATTACTACTCAGCACTATAATTGATACGTTAAAGCCTATTAAAGTATGGAGCCGAGCCACTGCTTTACAGTCACTGCACTTGTAATGCCAAAAATCACTTACAGTTTGTTTCTGTGCTTCATTTCAGCTACTTTTAAATAAATGTCTCTCCCCAGGACCTGGACGATGCGAAAGGGATTTAGTCTCAGAGTGTGAAAGTTGCAGCCTGCAGCACCAGAAAAAGAAAGCGTTCTTACAAAGCTATTCAAATGGATTTCCCTCACTGATTGCTTCAGCCAAAAGTAAATTATAAACCAGACATTATCAAAGAAAATCGCTGTAGCACATTACAGTTCATTTCACTGTACAGCGAGGATTTGAATGCAGAGGTGCAGGCCCTCAGTCATATTTTCATATTTGCCAGGCAAACTCACACACTAGAGAAAACTTTATTTATATATGTATACTTTAACTATCACTTCTGTTATTTATTATGGCAGAGGATGCCTTCAGGACATTCTTGAGGGGATGAGCTGTCTGGCATGCGTATAAAAACGAAGCAGCAAAATCAAGTACAATTAAACTTAGCAGAACTATTAAAAGCCTTAGACACCCAGCAGTCAGGCAAGGCTACTGCAGGACATTTCAAAAAGCTCATGAATACAAGATAAGAGGGGAAGGGTCTGCCAAATGCCAAGGTGAAATGTGTGTTCTTGTATATCATTTCGAAAGAAATACTGGAAAACAGAGGGAAAGCAAGAGAGCTCAAAGGGCCAATCCACCCCAAAGCAATTTATGTCGGGGCAAAGAATAACAAGGAGAAAATATAAATGATGAGACAAATATAGTTCAAATCTACTAGAGAATAATGTTCTCAAAACCTAGGAAATAAAGGGGTTTCTCCAGGATATACAAAATTCCAGAAATACAGAAGGACTAAACAAAGTCTACCTATTTCAAAAGAATTAAATGCTCTGCAGCTGAGACCATGCTGGGAAAACCAAGTCCAACTGAGTTCTTTATAAGGAAAGAGTTTGGCCAAAGTTTTCAAAGGCATCTCAAAAGTCGCTGGGCACTTCTATTCAGGCACATAAACGGGCACACACAGATTAACAGGGCTTGTTCTGCCATTCTGTTTGTTTCTTCCATCTCAGTATTTTAAGGAGGCATTACACAAATGGAAATAAATCTTCATCTGTGTGGCATTTACCCCACAACAAGGCTGTCAGGTGCACCAGGTAACGCGTGGACTTGTCTTCCCAGCCTCAGGACAAATCTGGACTGACACCCCACAAGACATGGAGCTTCAGAGGGACTCAGCTCCCTGCCTTGTAACAGCATCTGTGTGTATTTCTCTGGTGCCACCCTCCAGAGAGACAGAGAGAGAGGGGACAGAGATAAATTAATTTCTAAAATCAGTGGGGAATTATTGGGTCTGAGACCTGAGGGAGCAGGAGGCTGGACTTCCCAGCACTGTGTTTCTCAATTCCTGTAGCTTTGTAGTTCTCACAGGGCTCAGCAAATGTGGATCTCTTTCATCTTTCAACTGTGACCTGGATTTGGCCTCTGTGAAGGAGAACCTGGGACATGCAAAAGCTCTACACCAGCTGCATCTTCTACAGCACAGGGAACTGCCCCACTTAGATGACCAAAGTGAGAGACACGAAGGAAAGAGCACTTTTAAAAAGAGAAAGCCCCATGGCAGGGGCCATGTGAGGGATGTGTGGAGCCAGCATGTCCGTGTCCTGTCTGGTGGGTCACTTGAATGGGGACACTGCCCTGCAGTTGGACAACCACCCTCCTCTTTGCCCATGCATCAGTAGACTTTCTCCTCTTTTCCATTTCACTCCACAGTTCTTGCAGATGCAGTGTGGATCACAGGTCTGGATTTAACATGACAGGACGTTCCCAGGGAAAAAATGATGCCCGAACAACCTCAGTCTCTTTAGATCTGACTCCATTCCAGATGCAAACCTCTACAGCTGTATTACATATCCAAACTCTGCATATCACACTCAAGTCTCTGATAAGGAAACAGCTGCTTCTACAACTCTTGCCTTTGGCTGTAGCCAGGACATTATGACAGTTTGGCTCCCACTAAATTCTCCCTGCCCTTAGCACACTTGAGACAGTATCCAACTTGTCTCCTATCTCCTAAAAGAAGGAGGATTTTATTGTGGATCCATGAGAAGAAGTAGGTCCCTGCTGGTGGGGTACAGATCAGCTTTCTGAAGATCATAGTGTTTGAATACCCAGCTCTCAGCTTACTGGGAGGTGCCATTGTAGCTTCAGGAGTGCACAGGACTGACAGCCTGCAATATGTGCCTTATCCATCATCCTGCTGCACAGGAGCTCTGAGCCAGCCTCAGCCAAAGTCAATAAAGTGCCATGAAGGCTCAGGATAAATTTCAACTGGAACAGCAGTAATTGTGTCTGTCACCCTCTGAAAGAAAAACCCTCTGACACTGCTCAAGGACCTTTAAACTCCAGGGCAGACTGGCCATGGAAAATCCTCGAACTGAATAAGATTGTCCCAAGGAGCTACTGCAGAGCCAGCGGGCAGGAGATCCAAACAATTTGTTCCATTTGAGATATACTCAGAGACTTTTCCATGATTACTTCCAAACCAGACAAGGACAAGTCTTTTCCTGCCATCTGAAATACATTCGACCACTGTAATACTGGTTTAAGGAAAGAAAGGAAAAAAAAAGAACCCAATAAAAACTTACCCTGCAGTTAAGCAGTGCCCAGGAAACATTGTGGAAAACAAATTTTGTCATGTGACCACCGGAGCACAGACTGGTGCTTTTAACCAACAAGATGATTGTTGTTCTAAGCTGCCTCTCTTCATGCCCTTCAATTGTCTATGGATTGAAAAATTAGTAGTTAATAATAAAATGTCAAAGGTTGAAGGAAGTGCAGGTTCCTCCACATAGCTGGGTCCCTGTTTGGGAGTTTCTGAGCAGTTTTCCACATCCATTTGCTATTCAGCCATGCTGCCAAAACGGCCAATAAATGGAGCAGTCATAGTTGTGCTTTTTGTGCTATTCATCCCCGGACACTCCACATCGGACAGACGCAACTCATTCATTTCATAAGGCCACCAAACAGAAGCCGGGTGGTGAAGGCATCCGGTCCCTGCTGAGTTGGCTCAGGTCTTCCTCACGATGAGGGTCTCCACACGCCACTGTTGGCCCCTGATTTTAGAAATTTGTGTTCCTCTCTTCCAGTTAATGAAACAGAACCACATTGTCAAGGAAATGCTCGCAGTGATCTAATAGGTCATTCCTATCTTTAACTTGTATCATTCAAAATAGAAGGAAATTATTTTCCAATCGTTTGAAAGTTCGCATTGTGAGCAAAATAAAGCAAAGTTCACTAACCTTTCATTTGCTTTGTGAGTTTTTCCTCTTATGGGTATTTAAAGAAATCAGATGTGACAATCATGGACAATTAAAGTCTTTAGGAAAGGTCAAAAATCTCCCCAAAATAGAGAAAATGTAATGTTTCCAAAAGGCTGCTAAATCCTTTCCAGTAGATTTTGAAATAATAATAATTTTAAAAAAAAAAAAAAGCTCTCTGTTTCTCTGCCAAGTGCCACCAAACAAATCCGTATTAAAGCCAGAATCCTCTCACACAGGCCAGTGCTGCACACTAGAAAGATAAGTTTCCTGATCTGAAAATTAATCTGAGTCATGTCTGCATTTTAGCATTTGTGAGGAGCACTTTTGTAATACTGCTAATTCTCTGATTAGTCTGACAGGACGGTTTTTTTCCCAGATAAAGAGATTCTGTAACGCAGCAGACATTACCACATTGTCTTTGTGCTGTTGTAACTGCAGTGGGGAGGAATTGCAGGCTGGGATTTTCAAGGGCACATCAGCCATCCGGTTCCAGCTGAAACTCCACAGAACTGGGCACCTACCCCATCCTGTAACCATCACACTCCAGCTCTCCAAAGCGTACAGCAGGGATTTCAGCCTCTTCTGGCACAGATTCCTGAGCTAACCTCACCTCTTACGTTAATAATATCAAGTTTTTCCTTCTCCAGCAGAGAATGGGGCTGGATGAAATTCAGCTCTGGCTTGCTAAAGCCCTATTTTGAGAGCTCACATGAGACTCTCCTCCTAGAAGAATGAAAAGGGTCTTTTCAGCGTCCAGCTATTGTGCATAACACAGCAGGTGAAAGCAGTGTCTACAGCTCCTTCCTTGTTTTCCATGCAAACTTTCACTGAATCATTTCTCTGGAGGCTTAAGGAATGGTGATGGGTGGGAGAAGGGAGGAGAACAAAAGGATGGTCTATCTACAGATGCTTGGGAAAAAATTCAGTGTTGGCATCTCGAAACTTAATGGTCCTGTGTGTGAGCACCTCCATGAGGAATTGACAAAGCCCAGGACTTACTGAGAATGCAGTGAACCAGTGGCATGACTTTGCTTAATGTTACTTTCCTACAGCATCATTCCTGGATGAAATAAAATAAAAGCAGAAATGTTCGGCCCTGAGTCAGAGGCAGCTCTGTCCTTAGGGCTACACTATCATGTTGTGTCCTGGCAATCCAAATGTAGCTGACATTACCGGAGAAAAATGGAAATTTAGAACAAAAGACACAGGCAGACCTATCCCCACACATGGGAAGGGTAAATCAGAGCTCAGTCCAGCTGTGAGCCCAGGCCTCCAAACAGATTATTGCTCCAGCTTTCTAAAAGCTGACAGTCACTGAGGACATTGAGCAATGTGGTATCCCCTTTGCAACACAGGATCTCTGATGCAAGGGATGTATTTTGGTCTGCAACCATTTGAAGTCTGCTCACTGGTCTCACTATTAACTACTTGTGTCGGGGCAGCTCACAGAAACCAGGCACAAAAGGCAGGGACCCACCTTGCCTTGAAGGTGACAGCTCTTCACCCTAATAACAAGCCTGAATGACAAGTAAAGTGGGAGAGAGAAAGAATTTATCATAGTGTCCTAACTAATTATTCTGTAATGGAAAATTGATACTTATTGCCCCTCTAGACATTTTCCAAAGTTGTTTTTTTTTAACTACCTCTAATCCCACTCTGGTTACCAGGTAGCAAACCAGCTGGCTGCACCTACAGCCACACAGTTAATGTCTGACACAGTCACTGAAGCCAGAATTTGTCCCCAAGTGCCCTTCCACCGTGAACTCATTTGTGGCAAGCTGCTTAATGGTAGACTTGTTTAGACCAACATCTGCATGGCAGAGATCAGCTC